AGACCCCAGTTCACGTGTTCTGGGAGTGTCCCGCGTACGACGAACAACGCAGACTACTGCGCGTCCGGTTGGTACGAGCAGCTGGCNCTTTTCCGCACCCCGTCGAATCTCTGTTGTCGTGCTCTAACCAGGATATTGTCGCTGCGGTTAGCAGCTTTCTCTGTTCTATACCTCTNTTTATTTAGCATATTTTACATAATTGTTATGTTATAAGTCGTGTGCAATGAGCGTTATTTTCTACATTGTCAAGCTCTTCCAGCTTAATTTCTTGTATACTAGTAATCGTCGTTTCTTGCGTTCTAGATAAGTAGGCAAGTGTTGGCCTTTGTCTTTTGTTTCTTTTGTCTTATTTTAGTTAGTGTTTACTCTTTTTGTTTATGCTAAGGTTTGTGCAGTGTATATTGGCCTTTGGGTACACGGGCCAAAACGGGCTTCGGTCCCCGCATATATGTACTGTGATGTGTAATTGCATTTAAGAATCCCGCCAGTTTCAATGTGGTACTCGCATGTGTAAAGGAGGCGCACCCTATACATGCTCCTCCTCGATAGGAACTTTCTTATGTTACCAGATGTACATTTTATGCGCTGTACTTTATCCTAAGCCACGTAAGCTAGTACTTGTGGCATGTACCTTTATTCTCCAATAAAAAAAAAAAAAAAAAAAAGCAGAGTGCGTTCAGCAGACACTCACCCAACAGTTGTACAACAGTTGTATCTCGCTGAACGCGACCAATGGCATGGCCGCTCTCAGGCTTCTCTCTGATTACACATTGGGTGCGTTCAGACAACTCAAAGGTTGAGAGATCATCTTATGATAGGACTATTCTTCAAAATCTGCAAGCGGTTCCAAAAGTATGATCCAATCAGAAGTGATTATCTCTCAACCGTTGTGCAACTGTTGAGTTGTCTGAACGCACCCAGTGTCGCCTGTGTACATAGCTGGAAAGCGCCCTTCAAGAGAGCATGTTGGTCGCGTGATGTGTATGTGTGGCTAATCTGGCTATAAAAATTGGCACATACACACATATACAGAGTAAAAAATAAAAGTTTACAAATAGTTTTACACTTTAGTCTTGAGAAATATGTGAAATAAAAAGATAAAAATCTAATAATCACCATGATTCGTGGAAGACTGTAACCGGTGTAATAAGTATCTTGAGGAATTACACAAGTGTACTACATATATACATGTAATACGTTAAAGCACATTAAATAATGATAGGTCAAACTCTTTCATCGATGATTTTTCGTTCGTGGAATCTTGCCAGTTTGTTTGGCTTAACTAAATATTTACATTCTTCTTGTTGCCAGTGTTTACGCAGCAGTGTATTATCGTAAGCATTTCTTATGTTTATGTACACTTATATTTTTACATACACTTTATTTCTCAGTTTTTCACTGATTTTTTTTCAAGTACTGTGCCAGTAAAGCTCGCATATGCCTCCTATGAATCATTAAATGAAAGTGAAAATGCAAAGAATCCTGTTATAATAATGCATGGCCTTTTTGGGTCAAAAAACAATTGGAATTCATTATCAAAGGCAATTCACCAGAAGACTAAGCGCAAGGTGGTTCTCTTTCTTTCTCTCCTCTTATCTATTAATATATTTAAAGTCAGATTAAATATAATTGTTATCTAAAAAAACAAATGTATAGATCATAGCAGTGGATGCTCGAAATCATGGAGATTCTCCACACTCATCAAATATGTCATACAAAGACATGGCAGAAGATATGATTCAGCTGTTGATCGATTTGGATTTGAAGAAAGTTGTTCTAGTTGGTCACAGTATGGGTGGTTCGGCCATGATGTACACTGCTCTGAATTTTCCACAATATGTTGAAAAACTGGTAGTTGTCGATATGTCTCCTGTAAGAACCAGTCCCAGTCTATTGCAAATGGTAAAGATCTTTGAGGCTATGCGCTTGGTGACAGTCGATGGAAGCCCCACTTTGTCGAAAGCTCGTAAAGTGGTGGACCAACAACTCGCTCAGTCTATCAAATCCACTTCGTTGCGTCAGGTGATTATTTTTTTTCTTCTCGTGTTTTTTACATATTTAAGATACAAAGTTGTCGCATTGTCTTTGCAGTTCTTAATGACGAACTTAATAGAAGCAGATAAAGGAAAATTCAAGTGGCGAGTCAATTTACCAGTACTGGAGCAGGCATTTGCGACTCAGATAGCAGTATTTCCAGATGTGAATTCAAAGTTCTTCGCAGGTCCTACCTTGTTCATAGGCGGCGGTAATAGCGATTACATTCAATTGAAGGATCACGAGGCGATCAAGAAGCTGTTCCCTTCGGTAAAATTCTGTTACATAGACGGAGCGGATCATTGGGTTCACGCGGACAAACCCATCGAATTTGTCGAGCTTCTGACGGATTTCATAAACCGTGTGAACTTGTGATGCTAGTGAATTGTAAAATAGAAACAGGTTGTAAATTTGTCTTTTGTAAATATATACATATATTTTTCTGGTGAACTTTACAATTACAGAACAATGTGAAAAGTATTTAAAAAATGTGTAATTGTGTATACAAGAGTGAGAAGAAAAATTTGTAAGAGTAAAAAGCGCCACTAAGAGCGTCAAAAATGCAATTGTCGATTTCTTTCAGTTTGTTGTCTTATCTAACGTATCGCTGTGTGAGAACTGTGTAATAGGCCTTTTTCTGTCTCTACATTTGTAGAAAATTAGAGACAAAGAATTGACGGAATCAAATATGATTTCGCTGGAAGGCCATGTGATGTGATGTGGTGTGTATGTGTGTGTGTGTGCGCGTGTGTGCGCGCGCGTTACACTTAATGCACCTATTATATAGTTAATAAGAGTCACTGTGTGAGAGCAAATATATCACATAAGAATGAAATTCCTAAAGAAAATATCACAAAATTAGTACAACTTGATTTCGATAATAATTTGTAACTTAAATAATTATTTGTTTGAGAAAAATAGGAACTCTTCTCACCTTGTCAACAAATCAAAAAAATCTCTCAGAAAAAAAGCATAAATTTTCACACTAATATTTGCGTGTTTTAAAGGCTTTGATAACAGTAACTTGCAAAGTTTCTAAGCTCATTCTCTTTTGTGCCAAAAAGATGAAATATCAAATGCTAAAGCTCCGTTCCCATTGTAACATGTAACTGTGTGGCGTTATAATTCTATATATCACTTGCAATAGTACTAATCAACAAATTGCACATTACAATACGTCGCGCGTGTGTCCACCATTGTATGCGTAGTCAGCCTTGTTGTGCATCACAAGCTGATTGTCCACGAAATAAAACGAGTCGGATCGCGTTTCAAACGGATTGGCAATCATTTCGGAAACTAGAAAAATCAGTTTTTAGAGTATTTTCACTCAAAATTATGATTGTTTGTTGCATTATTTCACGAATATCATTGCTGATGCACTGTAAAAACTTTTCAATAAACTTACCTAAATCAGCAGGCAGCGTTGGAAACTCGTAAATGTGTTCGCATGTGTTCTTGCTGTTAGGTATGCAAAAGCCAAATTGAAAATCAAAAGTCTTCAGCAGTCTGTCCCGGAAAAAATGTCGCTCTATCATGCGAAAGTTATTGATTGGTTTAGGCCCAACTAGAAACTCGACTGTTGCTCCAACAGTTTTCAGTTTGAGAAACTGAGGAGTGAATTGATAACGCACAAATCGTCCTGTATTTGCATCTTCAGATCCAAGCTCTTCACAGTCTGGTTCCAGGTCTTGATGAGCATCACATTCTGAAAATAAAAAAAATAAAAAAACAAAAAAAAATAAAAAACGTAAAATTTGAATAGTTCTTAATAAATCAAAATAGTTCTTAAAAATAATTCTGATATTGCAAAATGTACCACTTGCAGGAGGCTTTGTTATTTCAAATAAGATAGCACCAGTTTCTAAGTCTCTAATTTGAAACCTTGTAAAATCTATGTCGTAGACATTAGCTTCTGGAGAGCAGAGATATTCTGGAAATAATGATTTGTTATCGACATATGTAAAAGAATTATATTCATAGATAAAGAGGATTACATGCAATCCAGACAGAAGTGTAATATTATTTAACCTTTTCGCTCCGGGACTGGTCCATATATGGACCAGCAAGAAAAGCGAACGTAATAGATGTTTATAAGGTCAATTTAATGCACTAAATTTAGGAAAAAAATTGAAAAAAATCCTGGTTACTTCTTTGACCTTCAAAATTAACTTTGAAGGGGGGGGTAGCAGGTTATTATTAACTTTTCCAGCTAAAATGCGAGGTCAATTTTAAAGGAAAAATCCCCGGAGCGAAAAGGTTAATAGCACATTTAAAATAAAATTTGTCATACTATCTGTAATAGAAGGCAATCGTAGCACCATTTCTGGAGTCACCGGGATCCCATCGAGACTCTCATCGGCGACATTCTCAGCCGGCTCCGCTGACGTGATATACGGCGCAATCGCCTCATTCGACTTGTCTTCACTGTCCACGATCATAATTTATTTATATAATCGAGCATATATGTTAGAAAGCCAAGTATAACATCCAACGTTAAAAAGCGGAGGCCAGAAATTTAAGTCCACCACGCGATTATGACAACAATGTTTAATTAGCGTCGTTGTGTTGTCGACTACCGCGTGTTTATCTAATCGGCCTCGATCTGTTCATCGCCGAAGTCATCAAGCAATTTGACATTTTATACCTCTCGACGATCATTACGTTTCTTTCACGTTCGCGAACGTTTCCAGGTGTAAACATCCTATGATAAGAGCATTTATAGAGTCACTGTCGATTATAAAAACTGATGGACATCATCTTTTTACATCATAGAGCTTATACTCATGGAGAGGCCCTGCGACCGCAAGGAGGACCGACAAAGAGGGATATATTTTTATGTTTCAACTGTGGCCACTTCTTATAGAAGAGAATAACAAAGAACACGGAGTGGGGGAGCCACAGTTGAGACAAAATATATCGAAATATATCTCTCTTTGTCGATCCTCCCGGCGGAGCCCTCTCTATGGTTAGCATATAGGCAGGGCCTCTCCATGAGTATAATGGCAAATTCGATTGGCGTGCACTTGCTCCGTTTCAGTGGCTAGTAACTTTTTGTTACTAAACGTACTCGGAGCGTGCATACTGAACTAAGTGCGGGTACTACACTGATCCAATTAGGGCGCACCTCGGAGTGTGCATACTGAACTGAGT